CTCTGATTGTGTTTGCTGCTTTGTGCGGGCACGCAAGACTTGAGAGGTGAGAAGATGGAGCGGGGCGGTGCATGGCCGCGTCCCAGACTGATGGTGCGCACCTCGGACAAGGGAAGGGCCGTACCCGTGGAAATGGAAGGAGAACAAATCCACTCGTGACTGCTACGTGAACTGTGAGGTGGAGCGAGTGTGGCGGATTGTCAAGGGCGATCTCACCGAGTGGTTCAGCACTGACGGTGGGCCCTACTTTACGCCTGGGCGGCGTGTGTTGATTGGGACGCCCGGGATCGGGAAGTCGATGGCTGCCGGCTCGTACCTCCTCTACCAGCTGCTGCACTGCGATGTCGAGCAGCTCCCAATGATTGCGTACGTTATTGGGAGTCAATCATTCCTGTTTGACAAGACCACCAAAACGGTATCAACATACAGGGGTGACCCCGGGATTGATGATGTTGTAAACATTTTTTCTTTGCGTGGGGTGAAAGGGTATTGTATCTACGATGCGGCATTGGATGTCGTCAACCGCCTGCTGGTTTGCCTTGCAGGGGATGGGGCATGATTGTGGTGACACCACCAGACAAAAACGAATATGAGCGGTGGACAAAAAAAATGGACGCTACTGCAATCGTAACGAATTGTCCCGAAGAAAACGATGTGAGGGCAATGTGCATTTGGATGAAGCGCAATTGGCCCCTGCAGGAGCAAGCGGAATACTGGAGGGAGGTGAGGGGTCGCATGAATAACGTGGGACCAATTCTCCGCTCCATCTTTGGCAAACAGGCATATGATGACCGCATTAAAGCGTGTCAGCAGGCCGTGGATGGGTCGACCGCCTCGGAATTGGAGCGTAATTTGGGTATTGGCTGCTGTTACTCGTCCAACGACAGCGACTTGTCTCGAAAGCTTGTGAGGGTTGTCCGAGTACGACGAGGAAACAACATTGAGTCGCCTCTGAATTTACTGATATCTCCCCACCTCGAACGTGAAACTTTGTCCCGGTTGGAGAATGAAATGAAGCAGTCCGATTTTATTTTTTTCTTTTATTGAGGTTCTGGGATTATGCCCCACCATATCTTATTGAAAAGTATGCCGTATCCGCATTTTTGAATGAGGATTTCCTGCGTGCGATAAGACTTAAAATCAAGGAACTGTGGCCACCGGGACGAAGTAAGCCACACAGCTGTGCGCTGAAAGAGCACTCAGACAAGAGCTTCACCTGAAAAGAGGTTTTATCGCCACAGGAACGTCTTTCCAATCCGGTTGCTATGGACCACTGGGTGCTGTATGAGCCGAAAGTACAAAACTTTCCGCTGGTGGACGGCTTTTTCTTTGTGGACTCAAATCCAATGACGCTGTTTGGGCTGCGGATGGCTACGGCGAGAGGGCACCACACCAGAGCCAGCACTGTGAGGCAGTTCACTGAGTGCCTGGCGGCGTATTTTAATGGTTGGGAGGAATTATCCCGAGAAATGTCGTGGGAGATTATTTACGTGCAGCACGCAGACAGCACGCCGATGAATGGCTGGCAGAGATGTGATGTCGTCAATTCAGATAGTGTGAGCGACGATGAAAGCCGAGAGATTGCGGGGTTCCGGGAGGAAGAGGTGCGCCAGTACCAAGTGTCAATATCATCTGGGGCTTTGGAGGAGACGCAGCTCTCCGAAGTGAGGAATAGCCACGGAAATGGGAAAAGGAATTGGGGAGGGAAGGGGGCAGTTCTGATTTCCGGTAAAAAATAATGTGGGATATATATATTTTTGGATACTTTTTTGTGTGCATACGGTGCGGGTGCACCAGCCCCATGCGGCAGCACCGCACACGAAGGCCAGGAACGTCCAACGCTATCGAACATAACAGTGAGAGAAGAAATTAGGGGTGGAGTGGGGTTGTTTGTTTTCTGGTAAAAACGTTGCGTGATTTTCATATAGTATGTTGATTGTGTGTGCGCATACAAGGCATAATTGGAGAATTGCCCCGGAATGAGGGAGTCATTGTGGCTGGCGGTGTCGCAGTACTACTGCATTGTCCATTTCCTTCTATTGTGTTCTAAGGTCCATCACTAACAGAAGCGTCTTAAAGGGATGGACGAATAAGTTGTATTGAGGAAGTGGTGCACTCCGTGACCGCATGGACTGAGGCGGCGCGTGACTGGTGGATGGATGAGGATCGCTCCCGCGTGTGCGGCTCTTTGGGTGATTTCTTGCTCAGTGTGCGTTGTGTGTTGGCTGCGGGGTTGTGGCCGTATCCCGTATTGTCGGGAGAATCCAGGAGCCGGCAATATTTTCCTCGTGGGATTGTTGTTGGCGCAATGCAGACGGCATAGACCAGCGTCCGGACCACCTGCGTCGTGCTGGGGCACATTTTAAACATCACGAGGTGTGGGGGCACGTGCTACCGCGGTGCGGGCATTACGATTTATTTGGGAAAGCACGAGGGAGGACAACAGAAGCACAACTGTGCGTGCTGCAGCAAGTCGGCACTGATGCTCTTTTACTTTGTCGGCACTGGAAACTGAGAGGGTGCGCCCTGCACCTGTTGCTTGCACTCTCATAGCCACGTTTTGAATGGAGCGTGTTGTTTTTTCTCTGAAGCGGGCTTCGTGTGTCAACGCGACAGGGGAACACGGTTGGCGGTGGCAGGAGTTCTTTCCGGAACGGCACTGAAGTGCAGGGTTCCTGGAGTCGGTCTCTCGCCGAGGTGGGGACGGCTCTCAGGGATTGTCTCGAGGCTGCTTCTCAATGCCGTTGCTGTTGTTGATGGCCAATCGCTGATGGGAGAGCGAGAGATAGTGTGCTGTCGTGTGATTTCTCACAGCGGCATTCGTTGGAGTGATGCATGTGTGTTTGCCTTGTAGATGTGGTGTTTTGGATCCCTATTTCACGATATTCGGTGCCGCAGCAGTGAACGGGGAAGTGATGCAGTCACGAGCTGCACGGGCGTGGTGGACACGGTTACATGAGCCTGTGGATGATTCGAGCAAATCCAAGTGTACCATGCGGTTTGGGTCTACAGGGAAGGAGGAAACAGTGGGCGGCTGAGGGGAGTTGCAATGCACGCGGCGGCAGAAGATGGCATGCGTTGCTGAGTTCACGTTGACTGCCACTTTGGGTGCTTTTTCTCGAGGCCGTGAATCCTTTCTAATTTACTTGGAGGTGCTTGATGACGCCAGTTGTGGAAGGCATTTTCATTTCATACGAGGATGGCGCACGGGAGAAAAGGAAGAAAGAGAGCGACGCCTTGCCCAAAAAGCGGCCGCGGTAACGTTGACGAGACTCGGGATTGTCTGCACGGCCAGCTGCTTGCCCTCTGCAGGATGTTCCTTGAGGCGTTCATTGGCGCGAGAGTGAGACACAGGCACCGAAACAACCGTGTCTTTGGATCCCCGTTGCACAAAGGAGACGACGCACATCAGGCGTGGCAGGTGACGTCCCCTGCGGGTCCTCCTTTCTCTTCTGTTTCACACCTTGGCATTTTCTGCGCTGTGGACACCGCTCCCATTGGCCGTCTTCTGTGACACGAGAGCCGCCTGTACTCCTTTCCGCCGCATTGCCGAGTCGTGAGGAGGGTTGGAAGGTGCATTGGGGGAGCCGTGACGTGTGGGCGTGCGACGAGGGCCTGTGGGGCGGAGCACACATTTCTTCCCTCTTGTTTTGTTTTCTTTGCGGCCAGGGCGGGCAGACACCCGCAGCGCCACACACACACAGCCACACCCTGCCGCCGTGTTTTTAGGATTTTTGCTGCGCTCACTCTCCCGATGAAGAGACGCGACTCCCGTCATGTCTGCGTGCCTCTCTCAGTCTCCACACACACGAGTGACTGTGCTCTGCGGGCCGCACTCGCACGCCGATGAGAGGGCTGAGGGGAGCAGCAACACGCGGATGACCCATGAAATATAAACGATGTGCGGACACGCAGAGGGTCAGACGGTTGAAATACATTTAAATACGTTTTCAATTTTATTTTCGGACAAAATATATGCAGACAATTTCTGGAGCAACATGGTATTTAGATGCTTTTTGTGTGTTTTTTCATTTCTTCATTTTCTTTGGGTGGAACTGTAGTGGAGGAGGACATTTTTTTTTATTTTTTCTTATTGTTTCCAAAGTGTGAGGGGTGGAAGAGTGAGGATGAATTTTTTTAAAATTTTATTAAATCTTCTATGAATTGCCTCTGCTTTGTCTGCAGTGCAGTATCATGAGTCTGAGCAGTCCTGTTATTTCTGCCATGCACCTCTGCTGTACATTTTTGTTTGTGCGTCCCTTCACATGCTCTGCTCCTGTTTTTACTTCTTTGCTTCGTGTGTCTGCAGGCGCACACAACCACATGCACGCACAAGATGCACATTGCAGTGGATTTTAATGCTTCTTTTGTAGTGCGTGCGGGTGGCTGCTGCTTCCTTTAGTGGGCATGAAGGGAAGGAGGGGAGAGGGAGCGCGCACGGCGAGTCACTCTTCCTGCGGGTGTGATGCGCGCGGTGGGCTGCGACTGTTGTGGGTGGAATGGCTGGAAATTTTGTCGCCGCGTCATGAATGGATGAGGATCGCTCCCGCGTGTGGCTCCTTGGGTGATTACTTCGTGTGCGTTGTGTGTTGGCAGCGGGCTGTGGCCGTATCCCGTTGTCCGTGGGATTGAACTGGAGGCGGTGGCGTGTGTCTCTTTTCTTCTTCCATTGGTGGTTGATTCCTGGCTCTGTGTGCGTTTGTTGTGTGGAAGGCCAAAACCTCTCACCCGCGGACTGACGGCACTGCGATGGTGTGCGTGTGTGCGTGTGTGTGTCTGTGGGCTAGAGTGGAGTCGCCCCTTCCGGATTCTCTTGTATCCTGCTCTCTGCGTGGGTGTTCTGCTCCTCACGGACGTGCCTGGTGTATTGCCGCTGTTGCTGCTGTACTCTTCACTTGTTGAACACAGTCACGCTAGGAAAGAAAGAAAACAAGCGCGAATCGCTACTGTGAAATTGTAAGGCTCTGAAAGGCACACACACACCGCCCACACATATTTGTATGCTCTCACGTGTTGCTGCTGTGATGGCACCCCGCACACACAACCGTCGCCGCGTGACCGGATCCAGCGGAAGGAGGAGGGAAGGAAGAGATCGTGAGCCGCAGAGGCCCAACATGTCCCGGCGTGTGTTTACTTCCGCGGTGCTGCTCCTCCTCGTCGTGATGATGTGCTGCAGCGGTGGGGCTTCGAACGCCGTGACGAGTAATTCGGGGAATGCGCAATTGCCGCAGGGAGTCGATCTATTTGTGCCGCAGATGACGCTGGTTGTACCGAAAGGTGGAACGTCTCAAGAAACTATAAGGAATTCATTTATTTCACCCTCTCTCGTCAGTGCTGGTGGAGTAATTGCTGCTTTTGCCGAAGGTCAAGTGTATACCGTTAATGGTGCTAGACAAAATGAGAAAACTTCTTCTGATGTTGTTGCGGAGTACATCGACTCTTCGTGGGATTGGTCCGCTCTTGTTGGCAAGGTCAAAAAGGAAGAATGGAAGGCAAACACCGTGCTTGGTACAACAAATGGAACGGATAATCGTGCGGATTTTTTTTACCACCCCACAACCACCACGAAGGGCAATAAGGTGTTTCTTCTTGCGGGAAGCCTTTATAAGTACAGACAAACTGTTGGAAAGCAGACATATAGCGGATTCAAATCACGAATTGAACTGGTTGTGGGTGATGTGAGGGAGCCTACGAGCAGCGAACCGACTGAACGTATCAAATGGGGCGAAATCAGGTCTCTGTTAAACGAGAGTACTATAACTGCTCACAAAGGTAAATTGACATGGTTTCTTGCTGCTGGTGGCTCAGGTGTTCTGATGGAGGATGGCACGCTTGTGTTTCCTCTGATGGCGGAGAGCGGAAATGGTGGCTATTACTCCATGATTATTTACTCGAAGGACAACGGCAGTACCTGGGCGCTCTCAACTGGTGTTTCCCCTGCGAACTGCACTGACCCCCGCATCACCGAATGGGATGGATCACTTCTCATGATTGTTAATTGCAATTATAGCCGGAGGGTGTACGAGTCACGTGACATGGGGAAAAAGTGGACGGAGGCCATCGGGACACTCCCAGGCGTGTGGGTCAACTCACGATTATACTTTTGGGACCTGAGCTTGCGTGTGGAAGCCCTTATCACCGCAACCATTGAGGAAAGGAAGGTCATGCTGTACACACAGAGAGGGTACGCCTTGGGGGAAAACGCCAATACGCTCTACCTTTGGGTGACGGACAACAACCGTTCTTTTTATGTTGGACCGGTTGCTACTGACGCTGCTGGGAATTGGGAGTTCGCCAGCAGCCTGATGTACTCGGATGGCAATTTGCATCTTTTACAACAGAGGGGCAGTAGTGAACACAGTGTCATTTCACTTTCCCGCCTGACGGAGGAACTGAGTGCAATCGAGTCCGTCCTCAGTACTTGGGCGCAAAAGGACATTTTCTTCTCCAGCTTGTCTATACCCACGGCGGGTCTGGTGGCAGCTTTGTCCGATGCGGCCAGTGATGACACGTGGAACGACGAGTACCTTTGCGTGAATGCAACGGTGACGAACGCGAAGAAGGTCAAAAATGGGTTTCAATTGACGGGGCATAGCTCCGGGGTACTATGGTCCGTGAACACTCGGGGAGATGGTATACGCCATGTATCTTTGAGCCACAGCTTCACACTTGTGGCGTCGGTGACCATCGAAGAGGCTCCGAGTGAGAAAACTCCTCTCCTGGATGCGATGTTGGGGGACACTAATTCCAATCATACCATGGGACTGTCGTATACCGCGGATAACAAGTGGGAGACGATGTTTGGGGGCAAGGTAACAACGGAAAGCAGGCCTTGGGAGCCGAAGAAAGAACACCAAGTGGCACTCATGCTACAAAGCCAAAAGGTCTCTGTGTACATTGATGGTCAGTCGCTGGGGGAAGAAGAATTGCCGTTAAAAGGTGAGAGTACACTTGAGCTTGTACGCTTTTGCTTTGGCGCGTGCGGTGAGGATGCCGGCCAGAAAACTAAGGTGACGGTGACGAACGTCTTTCTGTACAACCGCCCACTGAATTCCACTGAGATGCGTGCAATCAAGGACAGGATCCCCGTTCCGACGAGAGGCCCGGAAACCCAAGTGGAGGGAATGGCCACCACAGAGCATTTGGCCGCGGTGCATGACCCACGGGAAGTACCAGCAGCACTGGGGAGGACAACTGTGGAGAGATCTACCGCCACAGAACATGCGGCTGCGGTAAGCTTTACCTCTGCTGGGAGCGGACTGCTGCCGCTGCTTTTTCTGCTCGGGCTGTGGGGCTTTGTGGCTGCGTAAGGAGTGTGCGGCCTCAGTGGGGAACACTTGCCCTCTCCTCTGCAGCGACACGCACACACCGCTAGGAATAAATTTCACTAAGCAAAGGACAATTTCTTTTTTCTTCAATGTTTTCCATTTTTTCTTGCTGCTTTAGGACGACCACCATGGACTTTTTTTTTTCGGCTTTTAATTTTTTTCTTTTTTGTTTGGAGTATAATTTTTTATGTTCTTTATGTTTGTTTGCTTTTTAAAAAAATGCCTATGTTTTTTTTTTCCACTTTTTTCTTTTTTTTTTGCTTTTGGGGGCAATCACGATGGACGTTTTTTTTCTTTTCTATTTTTTTAATTGTTTTTTCTGCGCTCTTCCTGTGAGGGGTGCCGTGTGTTTCCGCCCAACTGCTCCACTCGCACACCCACCGACACGCTCATGACGACGGCCCTGTGCGCCTCGCCTGCTGCACGCATGAGGAGGGGCCGCGACGAACGGCGCGCTGAGGGAGCCGTGACGTGTGGGCGTGCGACGAGGGCCTGTGGGGCGGAGCCCACATTTCCTTCCCTCTTGTTTTGTTTTCTTTGCGGCCAGGGCTGGCAGACACCCGCAGCGCCACACACACACAGCCACACCCTGCCGCCGTGTTTTTAAGATTTTTGCTGCGCTCACTCTCCCGATGGAGTGACGCGACTCCCGTCATGTCTGCGTGCCTCTCTCAGTCTCCACACACACGAGTGACTGTGCTCTGCGGGCCGCACTCACGCACCAATAAAACGGCTGAGGGGAGCAGCAAAACGCAGATGACCCATGAAATATAAACGATGTGCGGACACACGGAGGTCGGACGGTTGAAAAAGATGTATCTTTCTAAATTTACCTTGTGGTCAAAATATATGTAGACAGTTTGGTGGGCCACACGGCAGCTAGGCGAAATGTTTCTTGTGTGTTTAGTTTTTCTTTTCCTTTTTTGTGTGTGGAACAATAGTAGTGGACGAATTTTTTTTTTTTTTTGTGTGGAACAGTAATAAAGGACAACTTTTTTTTCATATAATTATTGTGTGCGAGGGGGGCTAATATATGATGAAAGGGAATTGTTTTTTCTAATTATTTTAAATAAATCTTCTATGAATTGCCTCTGCTTTGTCTGCAGCGCAGTATCATGAGTCTGAGCAGTCCTGTTATTTCTGCCATGCACCTCTGCTGTACATTTTTGTTTGTGCGTCCCTTCACATGCTCTGCTCCTGTTTTTACTTCTTTGCTTCGTGTGTCTGCAGGCGCACACAACCACATGCACGCACAAGATGCACATTGCAGTGGATTTTAATGCTTCTTTTGTAGTGCGTGCGGGTGGCTGCTGCTTCCTTTAGTGGGCATGAAGGGAAGGAGGGGAGAGGGAGCGCGCACGGCGAGTCACTCTTCCTGCGGGTGTGATGCGCGCGGTGGGCTGCGACTGTTGTGGGTGGAATGGCTGGAAATTTTGTCGCCGCGTCATGAATGGATGAGGATCGCTCCCGCGTGTGGCTCCTTGGGTGATTGCTCGCTCCGTGTGCGTTGTGTGTTGGCAGCGGGCTGTGGCCGTATCCCGTTGTCCGTGGGATTGAACTGGAGGCGGTGGCGTGTGTCTCTTTTCTTCTTCCATTGGTGGTTGATTCCTGGCTCTGTGTGCGTTTGTTGTGTGGAAGGCCAAAACCTCTCACCCGCGGACTGACGGCACTGCGATGGTGTGCGTGTGTGCGTGTGTGCGTGTGTGTGTCTGTGGGCTAGAGTGGAGTCGCCCCTTCCGGATTCTCTTGTATCCTGCTCTCTGCGTGGGTGTTCTGCTCCTCACGGACGTGCCTGGTGTATTGCCGCTGTTGCTGCTGTACTCTTCACTTGTTGAACACAGTCACGCTAGGAAAGAAAGAAAACAAGCGCGAATCGCTACTGTGAAATTGTAAGGCTCTGAAAGGCACACACACACCGCCCACACATATTTGTATGCTCTCACGTGTTGCTGCTGTGATGGCACCCCGCACACACAACCGTCGCCGCGTGACCGGATCCAGCGGAAGGAGGAGGGAAGGAAGAGATCGTGAGCCGCAGAGGCCCAACATGTCCCGGCGTGTGTTTACTTCCGCGGTGCTGCTCCTCCTCGTCGTGATGATGTGCTGCAGCGGTGGGGCTTCGAACGCCGTGACGAGTAATTCGGGGAATGCGCAATTGCCGCAGGGAGTCGATCTATTTGTGCCGCAGATGACGCTGGTTGTACCGAAAGGTGGAACGTCTCAAGAAACTATAAGGAATTCATTTATTTCACCCTCTCTCGTCAGTGCTGGTGGAGTAATTGCTGCTTTTGCCGAAGGTCAAGTGTATACCGTTAATGGTGCTAGACAAAATGAGAAAACTTCTTCTGATGTTGTTGCGGAGTACATCGACTCTTCGTGGGATTGGTCCGCTCTTGTTGGCAAGGTCAAAAAGGAAGAATGGAAGGCAAACACCGTGCTTGGTACAACAAATGGAACGGATAATCGTGCGGATTTTTTTTACCACCCCACAACCACCACGAAGGGCAATAAGGTGTTTCTTCTTGCGGGAAGCCTTTATAAGTACAGACAAACTGTTGGAAAGCAGACATATAGCGGATTCAAATCACGAATTGAACTGGTTGTGGGTGATGTGAGGGAGCCTACGAGCAGCGAACCGACTGAACGTATCAAATGGGGCGAAATCAGGTCTCTGTTAAACGAGAGTACTATAACTGCTCACAAAGGTAAATTGACATGGTTTCTTGCTGCTGGTGGCTCAGGTGTTCTGATGGAGGATGGCACGCTTGTGTTTCCTCTGATGGCGGAGAGCGGAAATGGTGGCTATTACTCCATGATTATTTACTCGAAGGACAACGGCAGTACCTGGGCGCTCTCAACTGGTGTTTCCCCTGCGAACTGCACTGACCCCCGCATCACCGAATGGGATGGATCACTTCTCATGATTGTTAATTGCAATTATAGCCGGAGGGTGTACGAGTCACGTGACATGGGGAAAAAGTGGACGGAGGCCATCGGGACACTCCCAGGCGTGTGGGTCAACTCACGATTATACTTTTGGGACCTGAGCTTGCGTGTGGAAGCCCTTATCACCGCAACCATTGAGGAAAGGAAGGTCATGCTGTACACACAGAGAGGGTACGCCTTGGGGGAAAACGCCAATACGCTCTACCTTTGGGTGACGGACAACAACCGTTCTTTTTATGTTGGACCGGTTGCTACTGACGCTGCTGGGAATTGGGAGTTCGCCAGCAGCCTGATGTACTCGGATGGCAATTTGCATCTTTTACAACAGAGGGGCAGTAGTGAACACAGTGTCATTTCACTTTCCCGCCTGACGGAGGAACTGAGTGCAATCGAGTCCGTCCTCAGTACTTGGGCGCAAAAGGACATTTTCTTCTCCAGCTTGTCTATACCCACGGCGGGTCTGGTGGCAGCTTTGTCCGATGCGGCCAGTGATGACACGTGGAACGACGAGTACCTTTGCGTGAATGCAACGGTGACGAACGCGAAGAAGGTCAAAAATGGGTTTCAATTGACGGGGCATAGCTCCGGGGTACTATGGTCCGTGAACACTCGGGGAGATGGTATACGCCATGTATCTTTGAGCCACAGCTTCACACTTGTGGCGTCGGTGACCATCGAAGAGGCTCCGAGTGAGAAAACTCCTCTCCTGGATGCGATGTTGGGGGACACTAATTCCAATCATACCATGGGACTGTCGTATACCGCGGATAACAAGTGGGAGACGATGTTTGGGGGCAAGGTAACAACGGAAAGCAGGCCTTGGGAGCCGAAGAAAGAACACCAAGTGGCACTCATGCTACAAAGCCAAAAGGTCTCTGTGTACATTGATGGTCAGTCGCTGGGGGAAGAAGAATTGCCGTTAAAAGGTGAGAGTACACTTGAGCTTGTACGCTTTTGCTTTGGCGCGTGCGGTGAGGATGCCGGCCAGAAAACTAAGGTGACGGTGACGAACGTCTTTCTGTACAACCGCCCACTGAATTCCACTGAGATGCGTGCAATCAAGGACAGGATCCCCGTTCCGACGAGAGGCCCGGAAACCCAAGTGGAGGGAATGGCCACCACAGAGCATTTGGCCGCGGTGCATGACCCACGGGAAGTACCAGCAGCACTGGGGAGGACAACTGTGGAGAGATCTACCGCCACAGAACATGCGGCTGCGGTAAGCTTTACCTCTGCTGGGAGCGGACTGCTGCCGCTGCTTTTTCTGCTCGGGCTGTGGGGCTTTGTGGCTGCGTAAGGAGTGTGCGGCCTCAGTGGGGAACACTTGCCCTCTCCTCTGCAGCGACACGCACACACCGCTAGGAATAAATTTCACTAAGCAAAGGACAATTTCTTTTTTCTTCAATGTTTTCCATTTTTTCTTGCTGCTTTAGGACGACCACCATGGACTTTTTTTTTTCGGCTTTTAATTTTTTTCTTTTTTGTTTGGAGTATAATTTTTTATGTTCTTTATGTTTGTTTGCTTTTTAAAAAAATGCCTATGTTTTTTTTTTCCACTTTTTTCTTTTTTTTTTGCTTTTGGGGGCAATCACGATGGACGTTTTTTTTCTTTTCTATTTTTTTAATTGTTTTTTCTGCGCTCTTCCTGTGAGGGGTGCCGTGTGTTTCCGCCCAACTGCTCCACTCGCACACCCACCGACACGCTCATGACGACGGCCCTGTGCGCCTCGCCTGCTGCACGCATGAGGAGGGGCCGCGACGAACGGCGCGCTGAGGGAGCCGTGACGTGTGGGCGTGCGACGAGGGCCTGTGGGGCGGAGCCCACATTTCCTTCCCTCTTGTTTTGTTTTCTTTGCGGCCAGGGCTGGCAGACACCCGCAGCGCCACACACACACAGCCACACCCTGCCGCCGTGTTTTTAAGATTTTTGCTGCGCTCACTCTCCCGATGGAGTGACGCGACTCCCGTCATGTCTGCGTGCCTCTCTCAGTCTCCACACACACGAGTGACTGTGCTCTGCGGGCCGCACTCACGCA